ATTGGCCAAAGAATGGAGAATCGTGTCGTACGTTTTAGGCTGTATCTCCGGATTGGCGGTGTCTACGAGGAAGACGATTTTGCACGATGATAGGCGAATGTACTGTGTCCGATTTGAGCTCAAGTTGGATGAGTTACGCGTAGTAAATCGTAAGGTATTATAAGGCTAGTAAATGACGAATTTCCTTGTTTATTGATGTCACACTCCTCCGCTATTATCTACTCCTGATATATTATATATATATATATATGGTCATGGTCATATATTAGTTTGTGTTTAATGTCATTTAGGTTAGGTTAGGGTAGGAATTAATCAATCATTATTGAACAATTACTGAATGATATCAAAGTTGGGAACACTCCTAATGGGGCGTTAGCCGAACCTCCCTTGGCTGAAGATACGGTACCGGTTGGAGTGTTGCATTGAGTTTTGTGCCCTTGTCAGAGTAAAACACTTTATCCGGAGTTGCTTTTTTCGACACTTCGACGCCAACTTTAGTAATTGGTGTGGAGTGGGATAGCTGAAGAGTGAATATCCTGGCTTGAGTTCCAGTTCAGGCAAGATAATCTCTGGTTAATTGTTAATTTGAAACTTTTTCCACTGCGATCCGCAGTATTGATTTATGGATTTAATCAAACCTGATTCTCTCCTTGCTTGGAATAGTCCCTTAGACTATGAAGAGTACTCTTTACTAGATTACGAGATTATAATATGGGACACTAAAGTCTGCTGTCTGGCATTTCTGGCAGTCTGATGTGCCCTGGGCAATGTACGTTGCTTTTTAAAGTAACTACTGGTGGCTGGTTGAAAACCTGATGTGCAATTACTCTTTCACGGGCTATTTTAAGTATTACTTTGCATAATATGGCCGTTAATCCTAGCTAATTGTTGGAAAATAACGGCGATCTGTTACAAGTCGATCTAACTATCATTGGGATATGGTCTGACTAAAACCCTCTGTAGAAGGATGCAAGTAGGAGTTAGCCATTCCCTACTGTGAATTGGTGGGAAAGTATATAAGGTAAGGCCAAAACAAAATATAGGTGTGGTTACGGTTTCCCGACCGACCCTATTTATTCCCAGCGACCCTAAACATGTTATTGTCGATTTTCTTTAAAGTAAAAAAAAATTTTTTTTTTAAATTTAAAAACAATATGAATTGGACAGTTCCTGCTTCAAAAGGCACAACGCACATCCTTCGGACATGGTTCGTAAATAAAATGTTTCAAGAAAATAAAATGTTTTCCCTACCTACCTACCCTATTTTTTTCGGCATGTAACGGTAACCACACATATATTTTGTTTTGGCCTAAGCAAATTTCATGCTTTACCCCAACTTATGCATCTCGTACTTTTTCTGCACCGTTTTTATGTGTATCTCCTATCCATATTATCAGGAGTCTATCAATAGATCCTCTATCTAGATAATAGATCCTAGATAATCTATTGATAGACTCCTGATAATATCATATGGATAGGAGATACACATAAAAACGGTGCAGAAAAGTACGAGGTGCATTAGACATCAGGTTTTTTAACCAGTCACCAGTAGTTACTTTAAAAAGCAACGTGCATTGCCCAGGGCACATCAGACTGCCAGAAATGCCAGACAGCAGACTTTAGTGCCCCATATTATAATCTCGTAATCTATATTGATAGACTCCTGATATTATTTGTATATATTCTTGTCCGCTCATTGTCATGTTTGTTGTTTTTACAGTTTCTACGAACCAAGGAGTATACGACAAGTCAACGGATTTCAGTTTACTTGTCCATGAAGAATGAAATTGATACAAAGGAAATTCTCCAAAATATGCTTGAGAGTGGGAAGACATGTTTCATTCCTCGATACAGCACAAAGAGTTCTTACATGGACATGGTCAGGTGAGTACCGCCATGTCCCCTGTCAAGTACAGCGGTTAGGTTTCCTGATGTAAAACTGGCTAAAACTAAAAGGGTTTATTCGTTACAAATTGGTTCAATTTGTTTATGTCATATATGAAGCAATTTACAAAGAACTGTATTTGTGTTAGAAACTATTTCACACTTATTACGCCTACTGTGATCATTTCTGCATTTGTTAAGTTGCTTCACTTCATGTGTACCTACACGCCGAAACTGCACCATCACGAAGTAACATTGTCATTATCTGGTTTTGCAATTTCATTTCTAAAAGTTCTATATATAACTTTGTTGCACATTCTAGTTTTTGCTCAAGAGGTGGCGCTCATAGTCAAATACATTGTATTGCTCTCACACATTTTATGCGTGACGTTTGTTAGGTTGAAGTCTATGGAAGAGTTTGATGCTCTGCCAGTTACAAAGTGGAATATTAAGCAGCCTCTTGAAGACGAACTGTCATGTGAGACAGCATTCGAAACAGGTATGAGAGATGTTCTTATACAAGATGAGAATACTTCTCACGGTATATGTTGGAAAAGTTCAAACTTCTATTAACGGTCCTGAGATTGTCTAGACCGAATAATTCTGTCCCATATAACCTTTTTTATATTTTGGTGAGGGTTATTGGGACAGAACGGGTTGCATTGAAATTTCGTGAGATCGCATGCAAAATGCATGCGCTGCTAATGCGGCCCGTACGCCGCTATTGGCGCGAAAAAAAACCTACCGTTCCCTTCTACTTGGCTTTACCTTGCTACTGATATGTGTATACATTCACTTCAATCGTTATTCACTTCTTAAAAGGTTGTTTTTCAGAAACCCCTCTTCATTCCACTTTAGTAAATCACATTTGCCATTTACAAACAATCAGACCAATCAGAGCGAGTCTAAAATTCCGAGGTCAGCCATGCAATAAAAATTTCGATTCACTTGGACGTTGCACGTATTGAAATCGCTAAACGATCGAAATATCGTAAACGAACGTATCGAACAAAATATCAAGACGAACGTATTGAAATATCGCTAAACGAGTTCATATGGCATCTCCGCACGCATAGGTGGACTCGACCTCATCATCATGCCCGGAGTGGCATTCAACGTCGCGGGTTACCGCGTCGGCCGCGGAAAGGGATACTACGACAGCTACATCCAGAAGTGCAGCATGGCGGCGACCGGACGGCCGCAGCTCGTCGCGTTAGCGTTCGGCGAGCAGATCGTCGACGACGTCCCCGTTGAGGACCACGACGAAGCCGTTGACATGGTGCTGTACGCTGAAGCCAAGCCCGAGTGAACAGTCGAGGGTGGCGGCGCAAAGACGGGGTTAATCCGCGATGGGTGAGGTTGACATGGTGCTGTACGCCTAGCCCAAGCCAGAGTGAACACTTGAGGGTGGCAGCACAAAGACAGGGTTATTATGCGATGGGTGAGGTTGCAGGAATCCGCAACGTTGGGTAGGACAAATACAGAATGAATCTATGGCCATGTCGGTGATGCACAAGCAGAGTGAGTCTGTGGTTGCTGTGAACTTAGAATGCTGTCGTGTCATTGTCAGCAAGACTTGCTCACAAATCAAAAAAATCTCCAAAAGTGTACCTACTTGAACTTGTGTAATTTACTTTTATAAGTGTTTGATACATATTTCCATGATATTACTACATGGGTATGCAGGTAGTTTTGTAAAAATCTATCAGTATACAATTGTTTAATTTAATCGACAGATTGGTATTTTTGTATAGCAGTGTATTGTATCTTGACAGCTTCTTTTGGATACGTAAATAAGCTGTTACTGATTTCTGGTCATAGATTCAATTGATTGGATCCATTGTAATGATCGTAATGTATATTCAATCAATGGCGTTAGTGTGGAGCATAGATGCACGTTACTTAATTTACTTTGTATCATATCGGTTATATATCTGTTTGTAAGTATGCTGGATGAACTTTATTCCTTATCTGGATACATAGGCTATTGGTTGTAGTGTGATGTGTGTGTAGTTGACATGTTGCATATGAAAATACATTGTTTTGTTATATCTATCTACCTTTAAAATTCGTTCTTTCTTTACATGGACACTATAGGGAAAGTATATTACAGTTATTGTAACGGTAACGTAAAACGGTATAGAATTACGCATACATCATTCTTTCTTTGTCATTCTTCATGACAAGATTTATATATTTGAAAGTGGGAATCTATCTTGGATTGTTTTTTAAATTATATGAGAAAAAATTCGTTAAGTAAAATTGTAAATGTGTTTTTATTATGTGCAATATTTACGCACAATTACAGTATCATAAGTAACAAATAATTAACAGGGCATTAAATGTTGGCACATTCTGTATAGCCATTATGTTTGATAACTATAAGCATAAATAACATTTCAGGGCATTTGTTTTATGTCAGTTAGCACAGAAGCACTTAAATAGATAACAGACATCTATAAATTAAGACAGTTTTCACATTCTTGTAGCAATTTCATCTATGGCAGTAGAAAACTAAAGATGCGTTCAACAACATTTGAGTATTCAGCATCATAACTTAAACTGAATAAACAGTCAGCGGGTGAATCAGTAATATTAATAATAACTTTCTATGAACCCGCTATCACAGTCTTTATGTCAAAGTGTCTATATAAACCTATCATCCACAGAAAATGATTCTTCCGTCCAGCAGTGTTTGTACGTCTTTCTAAAACTTGCAATCAGCGGGTGACGTAACTCACTATCACGCGGCGTTGAGTAACCAGGATGTGACGCCATGAGATGCGGGTTATCGTTGTAATCTCGTTATGAGACGATGTTTATCACCATATAGCGGCATCAGATTATTATATCACTCACTAGGTGCTGTGTACCATAATGAGACGCCTGTTCACCGCAGTGATGTCGAGGTGTAATGTCACTAAATGTTGCTTACCATATTGAACGACATGATATAATGTCACCAGAGCCTGCTCACATCAGTAATGTCAAACTATGACGTCATTTTACGTCAAGTTAGTCGTCGTCACAGACACAGTGTCCTTTAGGTATGGCATCACTAGGTCAGTATAGATGTTTTTCACGAGAGTAAGCTCAAACTGTGATGTCACTAGAAG